TCTTAACACTTACTCTATATCTCTTTGATTCACACAATTTCACAGTTGTCCCCCAATGCAGATTGACCTTCAGAACAGTACAGCCACGGGAATCAAGGACACAGATAGCACTGATTGCTTGCTGAGTGCTCCTGAATCAACACTTCCCCCCCCCCCCCCCCCCCATGTTTTTGTTCCAAGGATTAGATACTAAGCTTATCGGAACACAACAGATAGCCGAAAGGACGAGAAAGGTATAAACAAACTGCTGCCCCTTTAGGAATAAATTGGCCTGGATGTTTCAGGCCGTATGAACAGCCATTTCATTAAAACGGAAATTTCATATTTTTTTAACGAAATTGAAACTTCCTTATTTGGCTCTAAGAATGTCACCATCTGAAAACACCGGGCCGCCTTGGACATGTATCTGGACTTCAGATAAGTCCACACGGACCCTCAGAAGCTAAAACAGTGACATTTTCAGAGTAAAATAAGTAGGTTTCAATTTCGGTTAAGGAAAAAAAAAAAAAGCCCATTTTAGCGCAACAGCTGTTACTGGTGTTGTTAACACTAACTCTTTGTCTCTCTGCTTCACAGTTGTCCACTCACGGAGACTGACCTTGAGAGCAGTCTTCGCCAAGATAGCCATCAGCGCACTTGCAGGTTGTTCCAACGCATACTCCACGACCGCTGCATGCGCCAGGACAGTCGAACGGATTCTTCTTCTTGCAATGAACAGGCTGGAAACCTGGACCATATCGTGAAGAAAAAGGAGGAACGGGATGGGGAGGCAGGTTACATGGCCGAATGATGCACGCATGTACTTTTCGATGAACAGGTTATGAGTTCAAAACCTGACAGATACAATAATGATTGATAGGGGCTATCACCCTTTCCCCCCCCCCTTTTTTTTTTTTTTTTTTTTTTTCTGGTCCGATGGACCACAGATCAGATATTAAACTGATCAGCCTTTCAAAACAAACAAACAAAGAAGGAAGAGAAAACTTGTTAAAATTTCAAAAACGGATAAAAGACAACACACAAATTTCATGAAGAAGAGTAGCACATCATGTGAGTCTTTACTCTCACGGAGGACAAAACGTGCAACAGAAGAAACTGCAGCATCCTGCTGGAGGTTCCAGCATCGCTCTCCCGCCTCGTCCACTCAGGCTAAAGGGATAAACGAAGAGGTTAGTCAGCACTCGATGCAAGGGACACTGGACCCATTTTCCAGGTGTTAAAAGACACCATAGTTGTTAGGGGGGGGAAAAGTAGCCTCCAATAAACGGGAGCGGGTAGATCATGCATGACAGCATTGAGGAAACGTATTGACAGGAAGCCCAAGAAGCGAGGATGGAGAAAAGGACTCGCAGGAAGAAAGAGTGGAACCAATAGGCAAAAATAAAAAAGAGCTCTAGCATATTGACGCGGGGAAGTGGGGTCCAGGAGTCCAGGACAACAACTTCCAGCAGCAGAGGTAGCAGATCAAGCAGACAGCAGAGGTCGCCAACAGGTGGGTGCCGCGCAACCCACCCATACCAAGCCGTAGCCAGCGGGGATGAACGGGTGTGGGTATGGCGACAAGAGTATGGGACCAGTTTGGCTGGGGTTGGAAATCGCTCAAGTCTCCTACACCATGCTCCCTCTGCAGCTCGGGCAGGATATGGGCAGGTGCAGGTGCAGGTGCAGTCGGGTGTAAGAAAAGTGCAAGCGTGGGTGAAGCTGGGTAAGGAAAAAAAGTGCAAGGGTGGGGAAGCTGGGTAAGGGAAAAAACTGCAAGGGTGGGTGCGGAAACTGAGGGGCAGTTGTGGCAGGGCGTAAGAAAAAGTGCAAGGGTGCGGCTGGGTAAGGAAAACCTGCGGACCCAGTTACCGCTGGGTAAGGAAAAGCCACATGTCCGGGTAGTAGGCAGGTACAGCTCGGTAAAGTTTTGGCCAAGCCCACTGGTGCTATGTTCATCCTAGGACGGCATTAACTTGGCCACTGTGATGGCCGGATTCATGCTTTGCCAGCATTAACATAGCGCCGGTGGGGCCTGCCCATCAGTAGTTCCGTTAACTTCCGTAGCAGTGCCATAGTGGTAGAATGGTAGTAGTTTGCCACTGCTGCTGCTGCCCAACTTCAATGAGGGGCAGTTGGCCAACACTTGAATATGCGTAGCAGTGGCTATAGCTTTCCTAGGGGAGAGGCCTGAATGTACTGTTGTTTTCAAATGTTGTTATAATACACAAGCCTTGGTCATTGGGCCCTTTTCCAGGAAAAGAAAGGAAGGGTCGGCTAACCCCACTCGCGAGCCTCGGGGAATGGGCCCTTTTTCCAGGATAAGAAAAGAAGAGTCAGCTAACCCACCTCGAGAAAGTTTCTGGTATGTTTATCCTTTTCTAACTATGACACCTTGTTTTTTAATTTGGTACTAAATTTGAAATCTGAGGTTTGGTGAGCCTAGATGGAGGGGACATGGGTCTGGATGCAAATGCCAGAGTTTGGAATTGGGGGGAAAAGATAGGGCCAGTCGGGCAGCAAAAAGTTTGGCATAGGTACTTCGGCGCACGGGTGGATAAAAATTGGGCCTGGGTGGATGAGAAATTAGGGGGCCTGGATATAGCTGGGTAGGGGTAAGGCTTTTTATCACAGATGCTGGGCAGATCAGGTGCAGGTGGGAAAATCTTGAATGCGCCTGAGTAAGGCTGGGTTGGGGTAAAAATTTACACTTGTTGAACTCTTTTTTTTTTCCTCCTTTTTTTTTTTTGGAACCTCCAGCTCAGGGTACTAGACAGGGCGATAAGAGCATCCCCCCCTAGTACCCGTCGGCCGGGTGTCCCAGTCTATTGGTGGGGAGAGCAGACAGACAGACAAGTTGTGGAACAGACAGACAGACACCAAGTGGAAGTAGCGCTCCATACAATGGAATATAGTACCCTGCACCTCTGTGTCCACCCATCTACGTATGGAAGTCACAGAACTTATGGGACCCTTGGTGTCTAAAGCTGCTGCTGCTGCTGCTGCTGCTGCAAAGGCAGCACCAACTGCCTAGGTAAAGCACCAACAGCAAGGGAAAGGGACAGGAATCAAGCTAAAGAGCTATGTTTGAGGGTCGCTCGACCCGTTTTCCAGAAGGACTGACACTCCCCACCAATAGATCGGAGTCACCGGCGGTACAGCTAGGAGTGGATGCTCGTATCGACTCCTTGCTGCATCAGTCGGTGTTTTTTTTTTTTGTTTTTTTTTTTTTTGTAAGTGCGCATTCACATGCTTCCCCAAGTGCACAAGGCCGGAGGGATGCAGGGTATGCTTCCCCGAAAACGACCGCTCTTCGAGCCGCCTCATCTCGTTAAGCACCAGGGAGCTTGCATCACAGCTCCAGGCACGTCTGCTCTTCGAGCCTCTATGAATGTGCTCTTTTATGGCATGCTTTGTTTCCTCTACTGTTGCCAGTTGAAGGTAAGCCATATGCCCCTAGTGTGAAGTTCAGTTGCACACTTTGATAATTATAGGTGAGCTTACGGCCGCCCTCAAAACCACATTCGTAAGCTGACAGTTGTTAACAAAAAGAAAAGCCGTAGAGCTTGCCTTCATCAGGGATGGCAGGCGTTCTTCCATCCAGCAGCAAGTACCCAACGACAATAAGCAGCAGCCCTGTTATGATGTGTTGACTTAACATCTGCAAGACTGCATTGGTACCATAGCAAGAATTCCAGCAAAGCAAAGCAAAGCAAAGTGACAGTCATAATTGTTAGCGAGGCGGGAAAGCCAAAGTGCACCCATGAGGGCATAAACTCAGAGACTAGTACCTTTCCGGCAAGTTTCTGCCCAATTCACCGGACATTTGCCTGACTGCACAGTTGGAAAACATGTCGCGCAACCCCCACCAAACCCTCCTTTTGGTAAATTTTATAATCCTTCTTTTTCTTGTACAGAAGTTATGATGACAAAATAGGAGATAAACAAAAAGAAAGGGCAAGAAGACAACACAACAGCAGCAAAAAGCTATAGGTCGATTAGAAAAATTTGAATGAAATGCAACATGAACTTGTCATTGAGTGCTGTGCGACCTGAGCACATACCCCCAAGTTGTAAATGCTGCTTCCACTTCCAACCTTGTCCCACTCCGCCGGTACAATCGACGTGGCTACACCACCCATCAAACCTACTTTCACGGCCCGCCAAATATGGAACATGTGTCCATGAAAAGGTACCAGTCTGACTATGCCCTCAGACTCAAATAGTGGTTGGCTTGCTTTTCTTGTTGGCTACTCACAGGGGAATCTCCATTCTATATTGTCAGCACCATTCTATATTGTCAGCAATGTCAGGAGTAGTTTCTCAGTTCACCACTAGTTACCTAAAAGGAATACACACACACACACACACACACACACACACACACACACACACACACACACACACACACACACAATCAATTTTATGTATGTTTGTCGTTTACGTGTCGTTTGTTCACCTGAGCACCTTGAGCAGTGCCAAATAGTCGATCATTCTTCGTCTGGAGTGCCCGCAACACTCTTAGAGGGGGGGCTCAGTTCGGGATGTCTGTCTGCCTTACGGGTGATGATGGGTGTTCGTCGAGTTGACTCCCCAGCTCAATGGGTGGTGGGAACCAACAGTCTGCGGGGTTTACCCATGATGTGAGTAGGTGACGTGCCGCTTTACTCCATGTTGTATGTGTAGACTGCCTTGTCTGCGTTCCGCCGCTGCTTTGCTGCCCGTCCCGCTTGCTTCGCAGGTCGTTCTTGGCATGCTGCCATGTTTGCTGTGTGTTGTGGCTGCGGTGTTGGTGTTGCCCTATGCTTCACTGCGCTGCTGCCTCACTGCCCATCCGTGCGCCTTGCCTTCCGTGTTCCTTGCTTGTGTGCCATGTGGTGTGGCTGCTGTCTCTGTGTCCCCTTTTGCATCGCTGCGCCGTTGCTAAGCTGCTCGTCCGCCTGCCCTGTCGCTCCATGCAGTCATTTTTGGCGCTGTGCAGTTGGATTGCTCCGGCAGCATTGCCTGGTGCTTCGCCAAGTTGTTGCCTGCTGCTGTGTTCCGCTTGGGGACAGTCTGCCTTCAACAAGGGTCAAAGGGTTCGTGACCCAGACCATCAATACGGGGATTCCGCAGATTGTCGAGGGTTCAGCCTCCTTGTGACTCGGTGCAACTCCGACGAAACAATCTACCATCAGCTTTTGTTTTTTTTCAGTCTTTGCTTTTTGGGGGGGGGCCTTAATTTTTTTCAGGTTTGCCTGTTTGGTGTGCTTGTATGCGGTCTACCCTCCCGCCTCCCCCGTGCCCTACAACCTATTGTTTTCCTCCTGGTCTTGGCATCTTTTTGGGGCTTGCTTTTTTTGGTTTGCTTCTTTGGTCTGTTTGCGAGTTGTCTGCCCCCCTGCCTCCCCCACGCCCTCCACCCTATGCATGACTCTGGAAAGCTGGTCATGGTAAGCCAGGTACGTATGACAGTATGAGGTATAGCTTCAGAGAAGTACAGCGGCAGCAGAAAGCCTTCGTTTGGATACGACTCATACGAGTCATATGACCAGGGCCTGGTGTACCGTATGGAATGGGGTGCGTGGCGAGTACGCCGTGAGATACACTACAAAACACACACACACAGACACACATACACACACACACACACATACACACATACACACACACACACACACACACACACACACACACACACACACACACACACGCACGCACACACACACACCAGTAAGTGTCCCAGGCTGACTGCACACCCCATTGGTTGTCCCTGGCGGGGTGGGTGTCTAGAGTGGGTTTAATCAACTTCAATGGCTGTGATGGACTAGTTTCCCGGACTCACTACCGTAATTGTCAGGGGCTGGAACTAGACTAGACAGTCTGCCAGGATTGCATTGTTGGAGGGAAGAAAAAGCCGATCCTTTCGAGGTAGTCCCTGGAGGTGCTCATATCACCCTAGGGGAACCCACGATGAAGTGTTTTTAAAACCTTTTTAAAAGGCTTTTTTGTTTTCAAAAAAATGAAAAATAAAAGAACTTTTCCCAAGGGTATGGCTAACTTTAGGCAAGGTGGTGAGTCGTTATCTATCAGCCAAATGCATCCTGGGCAGACTGTAGGGTGCTTGAGCAACAGAGGAAGTAGGAGGAGGAGGAGGAGGAGGAGGAGAAGGAGGGGGAGAAGGAGGGGGAGGAGGAGGAGTAAGCAGTGCCCATGAGGACGATCGTGACGATGATAATATTGATTTCGATTGTTCATCAGGGTGATGACGGGTCAAGGGGTGCTAGTAGTGGCAGTAGAAGCTAGCTTGCATCAGTTGTTGAGGTAGCAGCAGCAGCAGCAATAGAACTGCTAGCAGATAGTGGCGGTAATGCTAGTAGAGTCTAAGTAGACTACCTTATTTCCCCGCAGGGAACACCCGGCCATCATAGCTGTTTTTCGTACAATGTTCAAGCTAGAGACATATATAATGACCGGGAGTTATGTTCGGAGGAAGAAGGGAGTTCTAGTCGCAGCAGTACTGGTGGCTGTGACACCGGAGATGGAGACTGATGAAGACTGACGAAAAAAGACGATCGAGGAGGAGGAAAGGAGTAGTGGGAGGGGAGGAGGAGTAGGGAGAGGAGAAGGGAAGGCGGACGCGGAGGAAGAGCAGGAGTAGCAGGGGGAAAAGAAGGAAGAGAACGAAGAGGAGGAGGAGGAGAACAGAGGAGAAAGGATCAGGAGGGGGAAGAGAACGAAGAGAACGAAGAGGAGGGAACGTGAAGAGGAGGCGGCGGAGGAGGAGGAGAACAGAGGAGAAGGGAGTGCCGGGAGTTGTGTTTGGGGGAAGAAGGCAGTAGTAGTCGCGGTATTGCTGGTGGTTGCGACACTGGAGGTGGCAACTGAAGTGCCACTGGTGATGAATGGAGAAGGAGAAAAGGATGGGGAGGAGAGGAGGAGGGGAGGAGGAGGAGGAGGGAGAGGAGAAGGGAAGGCAGACGAGGAGGAAGAGCAAGAGCGGGAGTAAGAGGAGGAAGAGGAGATGAGGGAAAGAGGAGGAACAGCAAGAGCGGGAGTAAGAGGAGGAAGGGAAGGTGAGGGAAAAAGGAGAAAGAGGAGGAAGAGGAGGAATAGGAGAAGGAATAGGAGGAGGAGGAGGAGGAGGAGGAGGAAAGGAGAAGACAGGACGAGAAAGGAGTGGGGATAGAGGAGAGCAGAGAAGAAGATAGTAGAAGAAAGGAGGAGAGAGACGAAGAAGACGACGAAGACGAAGAAGACGACGACAAAACCCAGACCCTAGCGCACGTTTCGGACTAAATACCTTTAAACTCCCGGGAAAAGAACGAGAAGAAGAAGTTGTCATACTCAGTCTGATTCCGACGAGGCGAACGATGAGGATGGTTTACCACGACGGTGATTCTGTTTGAGTCTTACGCAGATAGCGGCCACCCACCAAAGGCCTAGAGGCTAGATCTTTTCGCATTCATTCATCATCATTGAAGCAGAGGGATAAGTCCGATAAGCTGTGAACGACAATTTTTTGAGGGGAGGATGTATTTTCAAACTCGATCAGTCAGTAATATCCCCCCGCCTGCATGGCCCTCTCGTGTTCACGCACGACGCAGAAGCCCGCAGCCACGGTATTGTGCGCACGTGAGTAGGGTTTTCTTTTCCCCCTTGTAATGATTTGAATCTGGTCATCGTGTTACACAGCGGGATTCAAGCTGAGGTCCGTACGTCAGCAGTTCATCGGTGTACCAACTGACATTCCATTCGTGAGTGAACTAAGCAAAGACATTGATTAAAAAAAACTAAGCAAAGACATTGATTAAAAAAAAAAAGTAAAGACATCGATCAAGTGAGCAGTTAGGTCACCTTTTTTTTTCCTGAAGAAAAGAAAACAAAAAGGGCGACGGCCTTGAGGTCTCATCCATTGAGCTGACCAGCCCCATTTAGGTTATTCGGAATTTAATTTATTTTCGTTCGGAATTTAATTTATTTTAATTTATTTTCATTTATTTTCATTTATTTTCATTTATTTTAATTTATTTGATTCTGTTCACAATTTCACTTCTGATTGCATCTGGACTCGAACTTGGGTCTGTAGTTCGACAGTTCATGGGTGTCCCCACCAACCAACTGAGCAGCTAGGTTGCCCGCCTATTTCTTTCGACAGTCACTCTATTTGCACTTGTCTGTCTCAGCACGATTCCAGACCGTAAACGAGTGATTTTATTATGGCCATCTGGTTGTCGTCGCGGGAATCGAACGCTGGCCCGTATTTCAGCAGTTCATGGGTGTAGAAACTGTGCTTTCTACGTCGGTAAGCTGAGGTTTAGGCCCGTTTGCCAGTACCTGTGCCTCCCTTTGGATTGATAGAAGTGACTACTTAGTTCACCAAAGAGAGGGGGGGGGGGCCTGGATGTCGACAGCAATCTATGTTTTTCCACTTGTCTATCTTCACAGGATTTTAAAGACGTGAATGCCGCGGGTTATCAGCACGACATTGTGAACCTGGAATGAAATCCGATAACAGTACATTCACCCCGGGTACGTTTCAAATGAGCTGTGTACGGTCATCCGACGTGGGCACACCCAGATATAGATAGGTGGATACACCCACCACCACTTACTTTCGTGGGTATATCCACCTGTCCACCTGGGGTTGCCCACGTCGGATATAACGGTAAGAGCTCATCTGAAACGTACCGTGGGTGAACGTACGTTTATCGGATTCCATGCCAGGTTCACAACCCAGGTGGATAGGTGTGTACTGTATACACCCACTTAACTTTCGTGCATATATCCACCCTATCCACCCCGTCTACTCCGCTGGGTGTATATCCACCTCTACTCCACCTACTCCGCCTACTCCACAATGGTGTATCGACCTATCCAGACGGGTGTAAAAACCTATCCACATGGGGGTTATCAGCCTATCCACGTGGGGGTATAAGCCTATCCACGTGGGTAGGCGTATCCACATATGCACGCACGTACTACTACGCATATCCACCGACGTGGGCACCCAGGGTCTCTTGTATGAGGTGCACCGTCCTCCGACGTGGATACTCAGGTCGTTACAGTGCTTAGAGACTCGATCGCTTGTAAGCTGAGTATCCACGTCGGTGAGATGTAATTGTGAATGTGGCAGGCGCGACGGACAAGTGATCGAGACTCGAGAGTATTGCATGACATTGTGTCTTATAAGCTGAGCGCATCGTCAACAAAGTTTGTCGTTTGCTATATGATAAGCGGTTCGCTTTGGTGTCCAGTCTGGACGAACGCAAAGGCTCACATCGTGCGGTGAAGGGAGGCGCGATTCCGCTGGCGCGCAAGCCGTTCGAACGAGCAAGAGGGAGGGGGCAACACGACTAAAAACTGCAGAACGGAGCACGCGCGCGCGCATGGTACACACACACATACACAGAGAGGGAGAGAGAGAGAGACAGTGAGAGAGTGACAGAGTGAGAGAGTGACAGAGTGAGAGAGTGAGAGAGTGGGAGAGTGAGAGAGTGAGAGAGTGGGAGAGTGAGAGAGTGAGAGAGTGAGAGAGTGAGAGAGTGCGAGAGCTGGCAGACCGTACTCAGTGTCGCAAAAGCATAACCGTGGTCGTCATTCGCCATTGCTAGCGTTGCATAGCATCACGCAGGAGGGTGAGGCCGGAGAGAGAGAGAGAGAGAGAGAGAGAGAGAGAGAGAGAGAGGGATATCTCTCCTAAGAACCCAAATTCATGCCGTGAAATGGAAGGCAGAGAGAGAGAGAGAGAGAGAGAGAGAGAGAAAGAGAGAGAGAGAGAGAGAGAGAGAGAGAGAGAGAGAGAGAGAGGAACGTGCAGATTAGGTGAATTACAATGTAATCGGCCACATGCCTTACCTGTATATTAACGACTCAACGTATGAAAATTGAGCAGACTGTGGAAGACAGTTCACATAGGTTCTCTCGTAGGAACAGCTGTTCTCGACGTTCTCGTCAACTTCAGGCCTCCTAACCGCAAATCCAAATCCATAGCGTCCTGCCATTCCCCTTCCCACCCACCCTCCTCGATCTGTACGCATTCGCTCTTCCTCTCTCTCCTCTGCACAAGCGATAAATACAAAACTCAGCGTCCAATTCGATCCAGGAGGTTTTAGAGGTTACATCTGGAGGTAAGGGTCGAGGGTTCAGTGTTCAGTGTTCAGTGTTCAGTGTTTAGGGCTTAGGGTTTAGGGTTTAGGGTTTACGGTTTAGGATTTCGGGTGAGGGTCCAGTGTATACACTCCTTGTCCCGTGTTGGTTCCTTCCCTGTTCTCAGCCTCGCTCCCTTCCTCCATCCCTGCTTTGGCTCTCCCTTTCTCTCCTCTATCGTGTTGCACAAATTGAAGTTATCTTGAAGTTCCAGTTAGGGTGAAGACTCTGAAGAGTTAAAGCTCACTTTCCAATTTTTTATTTATTTATTTATTATTTTCATTTTCCAATTTCCAACGGCTTGCGCTTCAGGTCTTGGCCAGTTGAAAAGAAAATAATAATTAAACTTTACAACAATAATTAATAATTAAAATAAATACGTAAACAAACATAAATCGATCCGTGTTCCGTGGTCTCAAGGAGGCTCGTTATACAACAGCGTGGGAGCTGCCTCGATATGTCTCGGAGAGAGCGCTGCACTTCGTGTGAATGCCGCCCCCCCCCTCCCTCTGCTGGCGAAACTACCTGAGAGGATGGCTCCATTTGTATATATAATGGAGCCATCCTCTCAGGTAGTTTATATATATACAAATGGAGCCATCCTCTCAGATAGTTTCGCCAGCAGAGGGGGGGGGGGGGCGGCATTCACACGAAGTATATATATATATATATATAATTTAAAAGGAGGGAATCCAGGCCTCCCCTGCTAGAGAAACTACCGGTGATGATGGCTCCATCTTCGTGGCGAGCTGCATGTGCTGGAAATCGAATTGCCTCTTTATTATCACCGTTCACGCCGCCTCTAAGCCCCCCTCCCCTCCTTTTCTCCTCTCTTCTCCCTCCTCCTTCCGTTCTATCCATCGTCCTCTCGTGCACTCGTCCCTACCACTACTACCGTCTTCGCCCAAATAGAACGCCCGGTCATTACATCCGTATTTGGTGCACCTTCCAGTCCAGATACCGCTATCAAGACCGGGCGTTCTATTCCGGTGTGAAGACGGTAGGGTGACAGGTTTCGACGCCACGGTGTTAAGTGATGTGCCACGTGGCAATTGCTAAGCTTCCGCGGCACATCACGTGGGTACAATTGTCGTTTTGTGACTGGGTTTGAACCCACCACGCCACCACATTCTTCGCTTACGTGGCACATCACGGCGGTTGACTATTTGACGCCACGTGGCAATTGCTAAGCTTCCGCGCGCCAATTATATATATATATCGCAGGTCCGTTGCGTTGATTGCACTCATCTAACAAAGGGTGCGGTAGTCAAGCGCCAACTAATGACCGAAAGAAAAAAGGGGCCTATGTACGTGTGAGTCGGGTCGGTGTGACCGATAGGTCTGAGCTCCTGATGTTCAATTCCCGCTAAAATCTTCCAGAGTCCTTTTCCCGCCAAAATCTTCCAGAGTCCTTTTCCCGCTAAAATCTTCCAGAGTCCTTTTCCCGCTAACGTTTCTTACGGTCAGATGATCAGTTTTGGTTTACATCCGACGACTGACATGGAAAGGTAGTTCAGGGGAGAAAAGACAAGACCGCTCACACTTTTTTTTCCTTCTGTTTATTGATGCGTTTTCCCTTTCGGACGGTTAGTGTGTGAAAAGGCAGAAGCGCTCGTACGACCCACCAGCCGAATTCCTGCCGGCGGGCGAAGAAGCCACGCCGTCGGCGGCAAGGACGATGCGGGGGACTGGGTGTTCTGTGTACCGCATGACAGGTTTCATCGCGTTCAACTGTTTCGTTTCGCTTCTCTGTGTCTGTGTGCCCTCCCTTACCTCCAGCCCCTTCTCTCGCCCCGCTGCTCTCTCTCTCTCTCTCTCTCTCTCTCTCTCTCTCTCTCTCTCTCTCTCTC